ATGAGTTCCAATCCAAGCTATGTGACCTTGGGCACGACAATTAATTAATCCCTCTGAGCCAGTTGCCTCATAGCTACAATGAGGAGAATAAGATCTACCTCACAGTATTTTTGTAAGACTAAATAAGTTTAGGCAGACTATAAAGCCAGTTCCTTCCAACAGTCACATGTGTAAAATGACAAAGGCTTGGGGACTTCCCTGGTGGCCCAGTGGTCATTCTGTGCTCCCACTGCAGGGGCATGGGTTCGATCCCTAGTCAGGGAACTAACATCCCACATGTTGCATGTCCAAAAAAAATTTTTTTTAAAGAAAATGACAGGATCTTATACATTGACTTCTAGTGTGAATTGACAAAATCCTTTGCAAAGACATCACTAGTACGTTATCCAAAAATTCTTCCATTAAATGGAAATAAGTTGAGTGACTAAAAGGTCAAGGTTCCCTGTACTAAACCAGAACCCAGTCCTCAGTTCTGACTGCAAATCCTTCAGACCATTTCCATCGTGCTACCAGGGACACACGCTATCCCATCTCTTTCTTGCCTTCTCCCCATTCTCAATTTTAAGGTGACCATATTCCACATAAAAGCAACAACACCCCTCTGTCTTCTCTGCTTCCTTTTGAAGTTCTCATTGTGTCCCTCAGAAGGCCCCTCAAATGTGGGGACCAGTTATATGACACTGGTGGTCAAGGTGGTTTAGTCGCTAAGTCGTGTCCCACTCCTTGTGACCCCATGGACTGTAGTCCACCAGGCTCCCCTCTGTCCATGGGATTTCCCAGGCAAGAATACTGGAGAGGGTTGCCATTTCCTTCTCCAGTTACATGATGCTAAAGAAAGCTAAATCATTTGAGGTAGTTCCAAACACCAGAGCTAGAACTGGTGGGGTGGATTTAGAGGAAGGTTCCAGCTCTGCATAAGGAATATGCTTGGAACAGTGGCGGCTGGCCAGCTGGGAGGCGAGCTTCTAAAGCAGGCAGCTCTCCACCAAGAAAGCTCAAGCGGAATATCTCACCTCCTGCTGCTGGAATGAACCACTGAACATCATATGATTTTATCCAGAACTTACTGAGTGCTTTCTAACGTCCTAGGCCTTAGAAATAATAGTATGAGTAAAATGAGGCCCTCAGCTCCCAAACGCTCACACTGGAGAGACAAACTCATGAGCAGGTAGTTATAAAGCAGTGTGTGTGTGTGAGTGCGCGCACACACGTGTGCATGCACATGTAAGCGCGCAGGCATGTCCAACTCTTTGCGACCTTAAGTTCTGTAGCCTTCCAGGTTCCTCTGTCCATGGAATTTTCTAGGCAAGAATACTGAGTGGATTGCCACCTCCTTCTCCAGGGGATCTTCCCAACCCAGGGATCAAACCTATGTCTCCTACATTAGCAGGTGAATTACTTCCCACTGAGCCACCTGGGAAAGTGAAAATGAAAGTCGTTCAGTCGTGTCCGCCTCTTTGCCAGACCATGGACTACACAATCCATGGAATTCTCCAGGCCAGAATACTGGAGTGGGTAGCCTTTCCCTTCTCCAGGGGATCTTCCCAACCCAGGGATCGAACCCAGGTCTCCTGCACTGCAGGTGATTCTTTACCAGCTGAGCCACGAGGGAAGCCCTTTATAAAACAATGTGGTAAGAACAAAAATAGAGAAATTACAGGGAATGCTGCGGGGTCGTCTAACTCAGGAGGTGGCCCTGATTCAGGTGGGCTGTTCTTTCTGGAGGAGGTGACACCTGGACAGTCTTAAAGGATGGAGGAGGGGAAGCAGTGAACGGTGAGATGGGGGCAGTGTGTTCAGGGTGAAAGGACTGAGCGTGATCAAAGGAACAACCGTGACCCACAGAATGGGGTACGAGAGGCCCTCCAGGCAGCTGGATAATGCTAGAACAGTCCACGGGGGTGGGAGGCAGGCTGGAGCTGCAGACCGGAGCCTGGGGAAAGGGGACCTTGTAACCTGCATTCTGCAGCATGAACTTTGTCCTGGAGGCACTGGGCAACCAACACCCTAAAGGTTCTAAGTACACAGGTGACTAAGTTTCCATCTCCTTGGATTTAGGAAGTTTTCTTTTCCTAAAGGGAGACTGCAGGCCAGCTTTGAGAACCGCTGACTTGAACTCTGGGAGCCCCAGGGTCAGAACAGCCCTGCCTGACTCACCACCGAAGGCAAACACCCAGTTCCTTAGGTCTCTGCCTCTTCCTCTTCTGTCTCCTGGGCCTCTCGGTAATGCTGACCTCACAAAAAAGTGATGTGGGCACCAGGTGACTCAGCGTTACAGAGGGCTTGGAAGTGGCCGAAGTCCACGCTGAACCCTGAGCATCTTTCTGCAGCAGGCGTGCTGGCGGGGAGGCAGGTTTGCTGCAGTGAGCTCCAGGGCCCGCCAGCCTTGTGATCTGGTGCTTCTCCCCCCTCTCACCTTCCTTGCCTTCCACTTAAATACCCGCTGGCTCCTGGCTGACTCGGTCAGACACCGGGGTGGGAAGGGACGGCCAGCACAAGCCCATCTTGCAGACGAAAGCATCCTTCTGCCTGGGCTCAGCCACCGGACCACTGCCAGCTCCCCAGGAGGGACGCCTGGCCTCCTGGGCTTTTCTGAACCGCTGCACCTCCTAGCTCTCGAGCTGCCCCCTCCTCAACCCAGGGCTCCCCTGACAGCTCAGCAGGTAAAGAATCTGCCCGCCAATGCAGGAGACGCGGGTTCCATCCCTGGGTCACACAGATTTCCCTGGAGAAGGGAATGGCAGCCCACTCCAATATTCCTGCCTGGGAAATCCCAAGGACAGAGGAGCCTAACGGGCTCCAGTTCATGGAGCTGCTAAGAGTCGGACACAACCTCGTGACTAAACAACGACAACAACCTCCCACCCCACCGGCTCCTTCCTCCTTCCCCATCCTATTTTACCCCCCAGACCTATTCCTCACTTCTCAGGGCCCAGAGTCTCCACTGCTTCCCAGAAACTCCTGTCCCTCTCTTCTCTCCTGAGTGAGTCATGCTCCTTCGGGCTCCTTCAGTAAGTGCCTAAATGCCCCCCACCCCTCCCACTTCCTTGATCACTCCATTCCCAACCCCGCCCTTCCACCACTCCCCTTCAGTCTGAGCACGAGTTGACCATCATCTACCTCCTGGTACTGGTTCAGCTGCTCCGACCATTCCCACCACACGAATCCCTGAATCAGCCACACACGTCCCCCTAAGCATATTCCCTCTGCTGGGAATATCCTCATCCCTGTCCCCTTCTGAACATCCTTCCGGGCACAGCACAAATGTCACCCTGACCCAAAGGCTCGCTCCTCTCACCTCCAAGACTGATTAAGTCTAATAGGACTTTATTTACCTTTTTAAACAGAGGGTGTTTGGCTTATGTTATAATAACAGCTAGGGCTGATGTATCAGGCACTCCTCAGAGAACCTTGTATAAAGTAACTCATTTAATTCTCAGAACCACCCTGTTATTACCTCTAAGTCAACCTACCCAAGTTTACAGTGAGCCAGTGGGAGAAAGATTCTTTACCGTCTTAGCCATCAGGGAAGCCCCAGTGTATGCCTAAGAGTATCTAATTTACCAAGGCTTTTTCACAAGCCTGAGCTCATCAGCTGGATGTGGAGAAGGTAAAGAGGACAGAGGTGCAGATGGCCTGAGATCTGGTCAAGGTCTTAGAGATAGAAATAGCTGAGTGAGATGATAGAAATTACAACCCAGGGCTCTGAATAAAACAACAGAAAGTCAGTCCCCAGCTCATGGTGTGGTCCTGGGCAGCTGTGGCCATCAAGAAGGGGTAGGCTGATGTAAATCAACTATACATCAATGAAAACATTGGGAAAAAAAATAAGAAAAATATCAAAGTCAGCCAGTTCTTTAAAAGTAAAAAAAGGTGGGGGGGGGGGAGCTGTGTGTTCAGCTGCCCCCTCCCCCCATGGATGAAGTGCCCTTGGTTGTCGGCAGGGGAGCCTGACCCAAACTTTTAGACAGAAGCTGGCTGAGCTGACTAGGGCAGAATGTGTTAAGGCAGGTTCAGCAGGACCTCTGGGGACCTCTCGGAATGTTTGGTCACTCTCACCAGACAGAACCCAAACCCCCTGAGAGACCACATGATTTTCCAAGCGGTCTGATAATATATCAATAGATATAAAGAGTCAGGAAAAACCGGTTTGTCCCTCCCATTAGCTGGGGGCAGTCAATGATTCCCTACTACTTATACCTATCCCATCCCATTTCTAAAACATCTGTATCTTTATTTCATTGACATAAAGCTCAGGGGGTGAAGAATCTGCCTGCAATGCAGGTGGCACAGGTGACGCGGGTTTGATCCCTGGGTCGGGATCGACCCCTGGCGAAGGAAATGACAACCCACTCCAGTATTCTTTCCTGGGGAAATTCCATGGACAGAGGAGCCCGGCGGGCTACCGTCCATGGGGTCACAGAGTCGGACACGACCGAGTGCATGGCACAACCCAACACAACTTCAGATGGGATTTACTCAATGCCTTGTGCAGAAGGGAAGACTTTTCCAGCGCAGGTGGCTTCTGCAGAAGAAAGGCTTTTCCCTAGTAGAAGACCGACCGCATCTTTCCGCAAGTTTGGCGGCCTCTCTGAGCCTTCATCTACCCACCCATCCTGCAGAATCGCAACAACTTGTGAGCTCCCAGCCCCCGCGTCCTGCAGATCCGACTGATCTCCTGGGTCACCGTCTCAAGCTCCTCACAATTCAGGAAATGAATGAGACGCTGCAGATGTCTACGCTGTAACCGCCTACTGGGAACCTCGGACCCTCGTAGCTTCATCTCAGGCTCTCAGATGGCCGAGCTCCGGCCCTGGGTGTTGACAGGGGTCTAGGCAGGCTGTAATTCCGGGGGCGCGGCGGGGAAGGTCGGAAACCCGGGTCTCCGGACTCGGGCATCGAAGCCCGGGGCCGCCGTTCCCTCCCGACCGCTCGCGGGGGGTTGTCAAGCGCCCTGCGAGGCCAGTCCGGAGACGGGGCTCGGGAAGCGCCTGGCTTACCTGCGGCTCCACCAGCCCGCGCGGCTCCGCGCCCAGGGGCGCCGGGCGCGCGGCGCGGAAGGCCGAGTACACGGGGATGCGGTGCTGGGTGCTGTACAAGGTGGCGAAGCGCTCGGCGCCCTCGGATCGCTGACAGATCCTCACGTGGGCAGCGGCCGCCGGCCCCGCGGGCGGGGTCCCGGCGTAGAAGAAGCGGTCGCATTCGCCGAAGCCGGCCTCCTCCTGGCGCACCAGCCGGGCCTCCAGCAGCCCGGCCAGGGCGAGGAGGCCGCCCAGCGCCAGGCAGCGCTCGGGGCCCATGGCGCGTCTGCGGGCCGGGCGGGCGGAGCGCGAGGCAGCTCAGCTTGGCAGCCGGGAAGTCGGAAGCCGGGCGCGGCGCGGGTGGGGCGCGCTCGGCCGGCCGGGCTGGGAGGCCCCGGCGGCGGGGGCGGGCCCGCGTTCCGAGGCCGCGCCCACCTCGCGCCGGCCTCTCGGAAGACGCCCGCACCCGCCCGCCCGCCCGGGGCTGGGCGCGCGGCTGCAGGGATGCCGGCCGCGTCCCCCCGGGGTGCCCCGCACCTGGCACCGCCTGGGCTCCGCCGTCCGAGTTCCCAGGTTCGGGGACGCGCGCTGCCCAGGCGGAAAGGGCTGAGCCAGGTCTGCTTCATCCGGGGGGACCGTCCCGGGGCGCGAGCCTAAAAACCTCCGGAGACAGCGCGCCCCAGGGATCCTCAAGGATGCCAAGAGGCGGCGTGAGATGCCCACAGCAACTGTGGCTCTTTGGGGCGGATGGGCAGAGACCCCCCCCCCCGGTGAAATCCGATACAAATCAGTCTCCCCCCTTCCCAATGGAAGTCTTAGCATCCGCCTGCACATGGACATAACTCAGTTGAAGTTTTAGCAGGTCAGAAGCGGGGACACCCAAGTTAAGAAATCCTGTTGTAGGAAATTCCTAAACTAGGTAGACTGATCAGCTCTATGGTTTACTTAGAATCAAAACCAAAACCGGGAAAGGAACGAGACCGGCCGATCTCACCGCTTGGTAGGTCGGTTGGTTCATTATTCTCTCCTGAGTATCTGCGTGCCAAGCCAGGTTCGGTGACAGCGTACAGTGGTAAACAAGAATAGGATCCCTGCGGTCCGGATGACGAAACCTAGTGGGAAAGCTTGTCGTTAATCAAAGAAGCAGTCTATTAAAGGAATAATGGAACACGGAGCGTGGAGCTGTGAGAAACTCCCTGGGGGAGGCAGGGTCTGTTTGCGTGAAGAATGTTGTCTGAAGTGAGACCCAAGGGGATGTTAGCAATGAGGCAAAAGATGAAAGTACCGTGTACTATGGGGGTCTCCCAGCAGAAAGGATATGTTGGAGGGATTTAAGGAGGGTGGGTGTGGGTAGAGAAGAGTGAACTAGAAGACTGTGAGAAATAGGGTTAAAGGAGGCAGGGGACACGGCAATCAGAGTGTCATAGGCTGGAGGCTGTCAAACATTTTCCGCCAGGACCCATATTGAGAAAAAAAAAAAGCTGGGACTTCCCTGGTGGCTCAGATGGTAAAGAATGTGCTTCCGGGGCGGGAGACCTGGGGTTCAATCCCTGGGTCAGGAAGATCCCCTGGAGGAGGGCATGGCAACCCGCTCCAGTATTCTTGGCTGGAGAATCCCAGGGACAGAGGAGCCTGGCGGGCTACAGTCCTTGGGGTCACAAAGAGTCGGAGGTGACTGAGTGACTTAGCACACAGATGAGAGATGACAGCAGAGACTGGGCTGGTTCTCGAGACAGAGTCAGAATGCCTACCAGGGCGCCTCCACTCACATCTTATGTTTAATCTTAGTTCCTAAGTATGACACAGGGGAACTGGACCAGAGTGTCCTGATGCTTGCCTGTGATGGCTCAGTTTGTGAGTGCGGAGACAGGTTTGGTCCAGGCCCATTTGCTTCCTAAGCCTGGCCTTTCCTTTAAGTCACAGCACATTGGTAACGTGAGCCTGTAAAATAGGAGACAGATTGTCAGGAGAACACATTTTGGAGCTTCTTAAGCTGTTGTTCTTAACAAATCCCTTATGGGCTTCAATATCTGAAAATGTTAACTAGGTTTGGTCCCTGAAATGAAACCTAAACTTGTTTCTTACTTAAAAAAAAAAAAAAAAGACAAACACCTTTAATGTGATGTCACAGAAATGGCTAGACTTGAAGTCCCCCCTTGATATGGAGTAATAGGCTTCATGGGATTTTTTAATGTTTATATTATTATATAGGATTATTCATGTTCCCCAATGGGAGTTTGTGTTGTCAACTCTAAACACAATTAAACAACTAGAAATCGGTCCCTCTCCTCTCTGTGTTCCCTGTACGTGCTCACTATGCTACTTATCACTTTAGACCAGCTGTCCCCAACCTTTTGGCACCAGGGACCGATTTTGTGGAAGACAATTTTTCCATCGGTTTGGGGCGTTAGTTTCAGGATGATTCAAGTGCATTACGTTTATTGTGCATGCATGCAGGCCTACGAAGTCACTTCAGTCACGTGCGACTCTTTGTGACCCTATGGACCGTAGTCCGTTAGGCCCCTCTGTCCATGGGGTTCTCCAGGCAAGAATACTGGAGTGGGTTGCCATGCCTTCCCCCAGGGGATCTTCCCTACCCAGGGATGGAACCCGTGTCTCTTACATCTCCTGCATTGGCAGACGGGTTCTATTATCATTACATCAGCCCTACCTCTGATCATCAGGGATTAGATCCCAGAGGCTGGGGACCCTGGATGTTAGAGGATTAATCAGTCTGTCTTCTCTACTAGTCAGGTACTCCTGGGGATAGGCTTGTCCCTTCTTAGTCTCTGGGTCTCACTGGCTACCAGAGAGTCTGGAATAATAGATGTAATATGTTATTTTGTTGTATTTGAATAAATGCAGAATATAAAAATAAATTCTCAGTTTTATGACTAAGGCATTTATATGACCTTAATTCACTGTTTCTCAAACTTTCTTGATCCTCCCCACCACCCCCCTGCCCCAAGCATAACTATCTCTGCCACTACTCCTCCACACCCTACAGCAGATTCTAGTTTGCCTCCAGGCCCCGGTCAGGAACCAACACACATATACACAGAATATTTGCATATCCCACAGCTGGGGTAATTCTGTCTACTTTAGTGTCTTTTAGTTTTATAGTATAAACAAGAGAGCTTCTTTTTGTTTGCCTGCTTTCCAAAGATAAAGTATACTATGATATTGAGTTTACTTTTGCAAATTACAAATGTCCACATGCCAAGATTCTGGAACATACTACATGGTAGGAGTACCTTGATCTAATAAAAGTTTTTGCTGACAGCACATTCCAGGGGAAGAGTGTCTTTCACAGCATTTTTATGAATGATAATTCACTCTCTCCACCGAGGTCCGTTTTCTTTGCCACTGACTCTTCTCACCGGGGTGAGGTTTCACAGCAGATCATCTTAGACCTCAGCACTCACACCAGTGCCAATCCAGCATCTGTCAATGCGTGTTAGTTGCTCAGTCCTGTCCGATTCTACAACTCCATGGACTGTAGCCCTCCAGGCTCTTTTGTCCATGGAATTCTCCAGGCAAGAATACTGGAGTGGGTTGCCATGCCCTCCTCCAAGGGATCTTCCCAACCCAGGGATGGAACCCAGGTCTCCTGCATTGCAGGCAGGTTCTTTACCATGTGAGTCACCAGGGAAGCCCTGTCAATTGCCTCCAGAAGGGCCCAAAGAGGATGAGTAATGGTTGATGTGGAATAAAATAACATTCTACGCGGACTTCAGTGGTTTGGTTGATTCTGTTCCAGGTTGTCTGAAAACACAGACCCTTCTCCAACTTTGCAGCCCCTACCACCTCACCTCTCATACCCAGTTATTAATCTCTTCACCTCCTCCGATTCATTCTGCAGCTGGAGTGGCTTCCTAAAAATAAACCTGATGGTGTTATCCCACTCTCACAGCCCATCACTCACTCTCCAGCTGCCTTGGGGTGAAGCCTGACTCCCTACCTGACTGCTGAGAGCACTGAGATCTGCCCCCTCGGGTCTCACCTCTGACAGGGGCCACTGGCCTCTGTGCTCTGAGCAGTGCTATTCAGCTTCTTGCAGTTCCTGCAGCAGAGTTCCTCTTTCTTATCCCTGAGACTTTGCATCATAAAATACTTCCCTTGGCCTGGAATTCTCACCTTGTATTCCCATCCCTTCCTTTCATTTAGCTTTTTTTTTTTTTTTTTTAGTTGGAGGCTAATTTCTTTACAATATTGTAGTGGGTTTTGTCATACATTGACATGAATCAGCCATGGATTTACATGTGTTCCCCATTTTTTTTTTTAACACAATCCAGCTAAACATTAGTTCCTCCAGTCATCCGTCCTTCTAACAAGCATGTCCTCACCCCTTGCCCTCCTCCTGCGCTATGCCCAGTTGCAGGCCCTTTCTGATTGTGCCTTTCCTTTTTTCGGCCACACCATACAGCTTGCAGGATCTTAGTTCCCAATCAGGGACTGAACCCTGCAGTGGAAGCTCAGAGTCCTAACCCCTGGACCACCAGGAAATTCCCTGATTATGCCTCTTAAACCTAGTTTTTCCCCCTGTATTTAACTACTACCTCCCCACTCAGACATAAATACAGTGCCTGCTATACAGTGGGTATTCAATACAATGAGTGAGTAAATGAAAGAGGAAAACTCCCTCATGAAATTCCATTTGGAGTCTCGTGGCTCTAATTCATTCATTCATTTTCAAACTGTTTTTAAAATATCTGCCATGAAGATGAATGGATAAGGAAATTGTGGTACACATACACAATGGAATATTACTCAGCTATAAAAAGGAACATATTTGAGTCAGTTCTAATGAGGTGGATGAACCTATTAGAACCTATTATACGGAGTGAAATAAGTCAGAAAGAGAAAGACAAACACTGTATATGAACACATACTTATGGAATCTAGAAAGATGGCACTGACTATCCTGAGTGCAAGGCAGCAAAGCAAACACAGATGTAAAAAGACACAGGCTTCTGGACTCACTAGGAGAAGGAGGGGGTGGG